GGTATTATAATAATTCAACATTCAAGTTTGAGAGTTCATGCTTTTAAGGTGGTATAAAAGATATAGATATAGATAGATAGATATAGATAAAATGTCAGTCTCTCCTTAATAAATATTTTTCATTAAATCTCTCTTCAAGGAAATAAAAAGAAGAGCAACTCTAAGTAATCATAATATTAGAATATGTTTATGTGCTTTCATTTAGATTTTCTGTATTAATTAATTTTTATTTTTTTAAAATAACAATTATTTTAGATAATTTATTTTTAATTAAACGACAAATAAAATGATGCGAAAGGAATATAGAATAAACAAAATTCAGAAACGAAGCACAAGCAAAGAACGAAGATATATACATCACTCTCAATAAAACTGAAAAAAATCTATAAATAGCAAGTATAACCAATGTTCTATCAAATTGCTATATATTTAACAATTACAATACTACGTACTAATGACCAAGCTATGATGAATATACAGTTCACAAATTAAATAACAATGGATTGATATGACTTGACTGTTCACAAGTTGGAGTGGATTGGTACGACTTTATACTGTTTTGGATATATCTATCTTGTTAAATTAGTCATAAATCATGAATAGTGACTTGATCGATATCATCTTCATTTTATCTATGTTATTAGGTTAGCATTTGGCCTTAAGTTCTCAAATACTCTTGGTAAATTATATTTGGGTGAAGTTTCACTTGTTTGGCCTCAAATTTTCCCAAAATTATTTAAATATTTCAAAAAATATGATTTATATCTATAAGTTCTAAAAATTATTTAAAACACCCATAAATTTATATTATCATTTTATAATGAATATGTTCCATTAAAAATAATCTTATAATATAATTGATAACAATTAAAATTAATAAAATAACAATATAGGCAAGACAATACATTAATCACATACTAAAATTTGTCACTGATTTAGTTATAATTATAATACATTAAACACAAATTGTTCCTTTTTCTCAAATTTATCACTCAAATCAAAAAAAAAATCAGTGGAGATAGTTACAAATATTAGTTGGAATTAATTAAAAAATGGGTATTTTTTATAAAATATAAAAATTTGGGATAAGTTTTGAATTTTTTAAAATTTTCAACTATTAGAACTTGGCTCAAATACTAATTTTTTTCTAGTATTTGGCAACTTGGAATACTTGGCAAATATATTTGTCTAATTATATGATCAAACACCACTTTTCAAATTTTTTCCAATTTTTTCTCAAGTATTCTTGAAGTCAAATAGGTCCTGAATAATTCACAAGTCATGTGCAAATTGATATGGATTTAATTTTTACAATATTCATTTTATTTATATTAAATATTAAATTACTTACAAATCATGCTGAATTAATATGATTTGATATTAGCTTCATTTTATCTATTAAAATCATTCACAAGCCAGACGTATACTAATTAAAATCCACCCACAATTCAATGATTTGCAATTGGGATATAGTTGATTTTGTACTGCCTTGAAAAGGTAACACATTCCTAAATTGGTAGAACATTGGTTATACTTACTACTATTTATAGACTTTGAAAGTATTTGGCTAAGCTTGTAATAAGCTAGTCAAATTAGTCTATATAAGTATATATGTTTTTAGCTTATTTATGCATTTGGTAAAATGTATCAAAATGTATTTTAATCTTGTAATTTTAATTAAAAAGGTCATGTGGAAAAGTTGAAATTAATTAAAGCGTTGCCAAAATGGAAAGAGTTATTTTTTCTTTCAAACGGACTAAAAAGAAAAAACAAACAAATTAAAATAGAGAAAGTAATAATTTTTTAACCAAACATACTAACTATCTATTATCAATTTTAGTATGTATTTATTTATAAAAATTTCATCACCTAAAAGTAATTTTCGGCCCTTAATATGTATATTTAGTTACTTTCAATAAGTTTATCCAAACATGTTTTATGTCCCATAAATTGGAACGGAGGCAGTCCACTTTAAACTAACGGTAGGAGATCAACTAACTTTAAATCAACAGTTCCACCTTTGCTTATTTCTAAAAGACCAAAAACATATAAAGAAGGAATTCTTTTTGTTATGCTTTTTTTTTCTTTTTTTCTTTTTTTGTTTTTTTTTCTTTTTTTTTACCCTCCCTAGGAGCTCCCACCCCTTTTGCTCCCTTGGTGACTCGAACTCGCAACCTTCAGGTTGGAAGTGAGGGGTGCTTACCATCCGAGCAACTCTCTCTCGTCCTTTTTGTTATGCTTAATTAGAAGTCATTTACAAATTTAGATGATATTGTAATAGGTACATATATTAACTCCCCTCCTTGTAACCTTATTAGTAGTTACCCCTCTCTGTCACGACCATGTATTGATGCATATTAAGTTTTATTAATATATTGTCTTTGTTTACAAATAAAAAGAAATAGATAACCATAAATTCAATGAGGATATAATTAGTGCTATGTGCTTTCAACTCACATCCATCATGCCCTATTATATATTGAAACATATAATGCATTGATTAGTTCCATTGAGACCTATACTTGCTCAACTCTACCTAACTTAGAACCAAAAACAAAAGTTGAGGAAATGAGCTCTTTGTTTGCAGGGAGGCCAATATCCAAGAGCTCTTATAATTTATATACTCTTCCATCGTCAATATGTGGTGGTCGAGGTGGTCATTTCTTCAAGATTTCAAACTCACTGAGCATCGATGATGACCGTCGTCATAGTATCGAAATAATTCATAATTCAGAGCTTATACCTAAACATGTTGCTATAATAATGGATGGGAACAGGAGATGGGCTAAGGCTAGAGGTTTAGCAGTGCAAGAGGGTCACAAATTTCTTACTCCTAATCTCAAGAATATTTGCAACATTTCTTCCAAACTTAGAATACAAGTTATCACTGCTTTTGCTTTCTCTACTGAAAATTGGAATCGTTCCAAGGTGTGTATCAGAGACGAATTTAGAATTTAAAATTATTCATAATTTATCCTCATACCTTTGGCGCCGTAATTTATGATTCGCATCAAAAAGTAAGCTAAACGCATGCAAAGTATGTTGGCACGTGAATATAATTGTTTAGTTATAATACTAAGAGGTGGAGGCAAAATTTGAAGGTTTATGAATGGTGGATTCGAATCTTTTTAAATTGTTAGATAATAATTTATATATATATTCAATAAATCTTTAAAATAAATATAATGTTTGAACTAAATTATTAAGTTTAGCCAAACTTGTTGCCGCATTATAATACTCGAGAGTAATTTATTTTTATTTGCAATTTAACGCGTACGGTTTTGCGACTTGTTTTTATGTGATTTTGAATAATTTTCTCTCTCCGTTATTCAAGAATGACAATTTAACTTTGAACAGGAGGAGGTTGATTTCTTGATGCAACTATTCGAAGAGTTCTTTGAAGAATTTATGAGGTAATATTTATTTGTTTGGTGTATATTGAACCATAATACAATCAAAATGCATACCTCTTCTCTATCTTTTTAAATTTTTAGATTAAATTTGTCATACGTTTCAATATAACATCAAAGCAGAAAGAGGTTGTGGATTTGATTCTCTGAGCCCACCCATTATTAAAAATTACGTATTTGGCCCACAAAAAAAAAAGTAACCACGCTAGCACCTAAGGGGCATAATCATATAAGTATCATATATACAAGATGATTACACACTTCAACAAGAGACACTAAAACTAGAATTATACAAGAACTATTAATCGATTTACCTAAAGAATAATAGTTTGATAATTCTTCAAAAAAGACAGAGATATATTTATCTTACTTTAACGATCAATAAAATATGCAAACAATTGTGTATGACTGAAAAAATAACGTATTACTGCTTTTCAATTTTGTTACGAGCTACTAAAAAATGACTGTGTTGAAAGTTTTAAACGTAGAGCTCGATATTTTAAATTTCATGATTATATTCCAGGCTGAGCACAAGGCTTGGGGTACGGGTGTCAGTTATTGGAGGTAAATCCAAACTTCCCACAAAATTACAGAAAGGCATAGAGTTAACAGAAGAAGCCACTAAAGCCAATGAAGGACTTCATCTTATGTTGGCACTAAACTATGGAGGACATTATGACATGTTACAAGCAACCAAAAACATTGCAAGTAAAGTGAAGGATGGTCTTATACAATTAGAAGATATTGACAACACATTATTTGAACAAGAACTAACTACCAATTGTGCCAAGTTCCCAAAACCTGATTTACTCATAAGGACTGGAGGTGAACAAAGAATCAGTAACTTCTTATTGTGGCAGCTAGCTTACTCTGAATTGTATTTTACAAATACACTCTTTCCTGACTTTGGAGAAGAAGCTTTCTTGGAGGCCATATTTTCCTTTCAACGAAGACATAGACGTTTTGGTGGACACACATATTGAAACATTACTCTTATTTTGTGTGTGGTGTGTGTTTCATGAACCTATCAGCCAAATAAATACTGCTAGTTGGTTGTGGTATTAGCCTATTCATGTAATCGGTGGATCTGTTGTTTAGTGTATTTAGATGATCACACCTTGTTGTTGTTGTTAAAGTTGCTTGCATATTTGTCCGCATTGCTTTGTTATTAGTTATCATGTTTCTCTCCACTACCTTTTTCTTTTAATTACTGCTTTGATTTGCTTGAGCCAAGGGTCTTTCGAAAACAGCCTCCCTACCTCGGAGAGTTATGGTAATGCCTGCATACATCCACACCTCACTTTATGAAATTTCACTGTGTATGTGGTATGTTGTTGTATGCAATACTGCTAGTGTGATCTATTATGACCTTTGACGTGTGTAGATAATGGGCGTGGTAATTAATTTTAATATGGAGATGAACTACTGCTGAAGCAACCTCATTAAAAGGTTAGCTAGGTGCACAAAACATCCCGCTCGCCTTATAGAAGGACAACACCCCAAGGGGTGTGATGTGGACAGCCTACCCTAATGCAAGAATTAGTTATAGGTCAAAAAGTACTGAAGCGGCCTCAATGACAATCCTAAATCTGCTTCTCTAACATAGTAGTACTATTTTACTATAATCGTGATCGCCATGCTTACAATTTCCGAAAAGAAAATCACTAAGAAATATAGTCCCAACATGAATACACCACAACTGGCTCTGCAAATTCTAGGCAGCAGCCAACAAGTCTCAGCACCATTTTGAGAAGTAATTGTTGTATCCCCGTAGGCGGTATGTATTGTTTAGCCATATAACTTTTGGAGCTTGAACAAGGCCAACGGACTTGCACCATGTGACTTCAGCTTATGGCATAGGCACCATTATTCTGCAGGTCCTCCACTACTACATTTCCTACTAGGTCTTTACTCCTCTAGAGACAATTTCAATATACTGTAAAGCTAGTTGCATTCGAAACCACTCAATAGCCAAAAGGTTCGAACATCTACTTTAAAAACATTTAAGATGTGAAATGAAAATCAAAGAATCGTTGTCAACTATATATGGCTTCACAGTGTCACTTTTGCTTTGTGCAGTCGCAAAGTACTAGAAATTTAGACATCTTTTGTATGCTGTATACCTGTAGAAGATGAGAAAACTTGTCCTGCTTGGAGAGAAAGAGGGAGAGTTCTAAGGAAGAGACCAATGGAGTCCAGATGCCAAGCAATGAACTCTAAGCAGACTGCACGGATTCTTCTAAAGCACATTTGAAGAACTGTGCTTGCAGTTAATTTGGCCCCAAAAAAATTGGGAGTGCTTCCAGACATTCCAAAAGCAGCATGCTGCTGCTGTAAGTTTTTTACTCTCTTAGAAAATATTAATCCAGAGTGAGGCTTGACGTCGGTGGCATAGAGGGAAATGAACAAGAAAATGAAGGCAAGATATGTACATCTAATCCTAATCATCAGGATCCATTTCCTCATCCTGTTCCAGGGATGGAATTGCATCAGTTCCATTGTATCCTTCCGATTCTGACTGCCCGTTTAAATCAATCTCATCTTCTTGAGAATCAACTTCATCAGCATTAGCCTCTTGAGTCCTTAGTTGTTGCATCCATTTGGGGCACTCATCCTGCCCTTCAAACAACATATGGAGATTGTTATTCTTTCCTGAATGCACAATATCAGTAGCCTTGACAGTTGAACATGAGCATTCTGGAATAGGGTGAGAGAGGAAAAACTTTGTTTTTGATAGATTAGATTCCTTCAAAAGGCCCTCTTCTGCCAGGCTTTTGTTGAGATGTTCTCTGACAGCAAAAGTCCAATTACGAGGTGGATAATAAAGATGATCGACGGTAGTATTAAAGAGCTCTGCAAGATATTTCCTGCATATACAAGATACATTTTAGAAAGTGATGGTAAATAAAAAGAAATAGTAAACACCAAACAAAGAAAGGACCAGGAGTGTTGTTAGTTTTACCTGTTTGGCCGAAATGTTCTTGCAGATGCCATCTCATAAAGTCGGTGTCCCATCACCAAGCTAGCAAAATCAGGCCCACTACCATCATTGTCAAAACCAGGGAAAAAAACTTCAGCGTCCACCGAGACTATGTAATCAAGAGCATCCCATAGCAGTCGGTGTGCTTGCTCCCTCTGATCATTGAGAGAAGGTTCTGGTTCCTTATCTTTCTCTGCAACCCACCCATACCAGCCTTCTTTTTCATGTCGATAAATAGGTCGATCAGGAGGAGGTGGTAGAGGCCTTGGGCGGGGACCAGACTTGTCCCATTCTGATTTTAGTTGATTTGGACTTTTTACTGGTAAAAGCTGATCAGGATCAGGAATAAGGGGGGTTTCAGGGCCAACTAAATTGGCTAGCTCTGTTTTGCTGCACAAAGAAGTACGATCAACTAAATTGGTGTACATGGCGCGTAAAGGAATCATAACCCGTTGTCCGCCAAAGGTTTCAGAACCTGATAGGAATATTCTTGTCCTAGGTGGATAACCCATGGCTCGAAGCAGAAGGCCAACCTAAATGTGAAATGAAAATCAAAGAATCGTTGTCAACTATATATGGCTTCACAGTGTCACTTTTGCTTTGTGCAGTCGCAAAGTACTAGAAATTTAGACATCTTTTGTATGCTGTATACCTGTAGAAGATGAGAAAACTTGTCCTGCTTGGAGAGAAAGAGGGAGAGTTCTAAGGAAGAGACCAATGGAGTCCAGATGCCAAGCAATGAACTCTAAGCAGACTGCACGGATTCTTCTAAAGCACATTTGAAGAACTGTGCTTGCAGTTAATTTGGCCCCAAAAAAATTGGGAGTGCTTCCAGACATTCCAAAAGCAGCATGCTGCTGCTGTAAGTTTTTACACTCTTAGAAAAGATTAATCCAGAGTGGGGCTTGACGTCGGTGGCATAGAGGGAAATGAACAAGAAAATGAAGGCAAGATATGTACATCTAATCCTAATCATCAGGATCCATTTCCTCATCCTGTTCCAGGGATGGAATTGCATCAGTTCCATTGTATCCTTCCGATTCTGACTGCCCGTTTAAATCAATCTCATCTTCTTGAGAATCAACTTCATCAGCTTTAGCCTCTTGAGTTCTTAGTTGTTGCATCCATTTGGGGCACTCATCCTGCCCTTCAAACAACAGATGGAGATTGTTGTTCTTTCCTGAATGCACAATATCAGTAGCCTTGACAGTTGAACATGAGCATTCTGGAATAGGGTGAGAGAGGAAAAACTTTGTTTTTGATAGATTAGATTCCTTCAAAAGGCCCTCTTCTGCCAGGCTTTTGTTGAGATGTTCTCTGACAGCAAAAGTCCAATTACGAGGTGGATAATAAAGATGATCGACGGTAGTATTAAAGAGCTCTGCAAGATATTTCCTGCATATACAAGATACATTTTAGAAAGTGATGGTAAATAAAAAGAAATAGTAAACACCAAACAAAGAAAGGACCAGGAGTGTTGTTAGTTTTACCTGTTTGGCCGAAATGTTCTTGCAGATGCCATCTCATAAAGTCGGTGTCCCATCACCAAGCTAGCAAAATCAGGCCCACTACCATCATTGTCAAAACCAGGGAAAAAAACTTCAGCGTCCACCGAGACTATGTAATCAAGAGCATCCCATAGCAGTCGGTGTGCTTGCTCCCTCTGATCATTGAGAGAAGGTTCTGGTTCCTTATCTTTCTCTGCAACCCACCCATACCAGCCTTCTTTTTCATGTCGATAAATAGGTCGATCAGGAGGAGGTGGTAGAGGCCTTGGGCGGGGACCAGACTTGTCCCATTCTGATTTTAGTTGATTTGAACTTTTTACTGGTAAAAACTGATCAGGATCAGGAATAAGGGGGGTTTCAGGGCCAACTAAATTGGCTAGCTCTGTTTTGCTGCACAAAGAAGTACGATCAACTAAATTGGTGTACATGGCGCGTAAAGGAATCATAACCCGTTGTCCGCCAAAGGTTTCAGAACCTGATAGGAATATTCTTGTCCTAGGTGGATAACCCATGGCTCGAAGCAGAAGGCCAACCTAAAATTTGCAAAAATGTATGAAGAATTAAGAAATAGAACGACTGCAGGGAGGTTTTACATAGGAAATGCTATAGTTCTAGGGGTAACAGCAACATCCGATGGTTTAAGTATTAAACTAACAAAATGTGAATAATTAACAGGGTTTTGAGGTATTTAACTCTCTTTTTTCTTTTGAGAAAGAACAGAACATGCGATTCTGTGAACGAAAGAGCCTGGGATTATAATAGAGCATTTGCATCAACCTTCCCAAGCTCAATCAATGAACAACAAAGAGGGTTTGAATTATCAGCAGCTCCTCTGAGAAAATATCTCCAGAAACAAGCTATTAATGTCTCAGCCTAAGGCAATCTTGATTTATTCCACGATATAGAAGATAGCTAGCAGGTGGATGTCCCGACATCTTAAACTATTAGCAGCAAATTCATTGGCTAAACTAACACACTTTTTGTAAAGTCTTTACTCTCTTTTTTGAATGTAACCTGTAAGAGCATTATCTATATGTTGTTTATTATTTTTACATGAATAATACTTCTTATTTTACCGAAAAAAAACTGTTTTGATCTTTACAGTGCCTTAATATCTCATCTCTGCATCAATTGGCAAGCAAATAAGGAACTCGCAAAATCTCTTCCTAGTTGTGAGAAAAGAATCTAGAGCATAAAGTAAATCTAGGAACATGAAGACCCCTATACTGTATTTAAAGAAGTTTGAACTGGAGATTAAACTATGAGATGGTAACAAAATGCACTAATTAGCAAAAAAAGAAGAAAAAATGTGCACTGCATGGATGCTATCTAAAAAGTCTCTGCATCAAAAGGTAGCTTAAAATGTAATATATTGTATAAAGCTACTTATAAAAACTTTACTTTGAGCCAGATGAATAAACTTTTGACGAAGATTTAAAGAGAAAATTCAAAAAGTACCTCTTCTGGCATGAGTGGGCACGATCCATTTCTCTTCCGAGCATGTGAGTCAACATTAAGTTCTTCACTGATAATTCCTTGTTTAATCATCTGGGCCCTCCTGTATTGTATAAGTTCTGTGTGAACATCCTACACCAAGAGAAAGCAATATATTACAGGTGTCATGATATCAGCAGTTGTGTTTTTTTAGAAAGTTCAACATTTTATAGACAAAACACACCAATAGTGTATTTCAGTAGTAATTACATCAGGAGTTAAAGTTAGCAAAACCAAATATATCTATCACCTTTACTCCTAAACTATCTAAAAAGTGAGTAATATCCTCCACCTTTCTGGGGAGTACATAGTTGCACCAAAAATAAAAGTTTATAAGGCAATTCAGTTTCAAGCAGAAAGGGATGCTCTTGTTTTCAAAACATCTGTGGTTCCTTTCCTTCCATATTGTCCACCAGATGCAAGCAGGGACAATCTTCCATCTCTCCTTATGGCCTGACATGTTTCCTTCTCTATTCCATCCTGTTAGGGCTTCTGATGTATGCCTTGGCATGGACCAACTGATACCCCTCAAGGTAAAAAACGCATGCCACAATTTCAGTGTCACTCTACAGCGAATGAAGAGATGGTTTGTTGTCTCTGTTTCTCTTTCACAAAAAAAGCATCTGGAACATAATTCCCTTCCCCTTTTCATTAGATTGTCCTGAGTTAGTACTGCTTTCCTGGCTACCAACCAGGTGAAACAAGCCACCTTGTGGGGTATCTTTACCTTCCATATCATCTTCCAAGGCCATGATAAGAGCATTGCAACTGACCTCAAGGGGTTTGTAAGCTGATTTTACTGTGAATTTCCCATTTTTGGCTCTCAGCCATTGTAGACTGTCTTCATTTGTGTCAAGGTTATTGGTATGCTCCAAAGAATTGAAGAAATCTGTGAGGTTGTCTATTTCCCAGTCATTCAACCTTCTCCTGAAAGAGAGGTTTCATCCTTGATTGGCCCTGACATCTGCTATTGTTGCCTCCTTCTGTTGGTTCAGATAGTAGATTACAGGGTACAACTGTTTCAAGGGGTATTGATCAACCCACATATCATTCCAGAATGATGCCCTCCTTCCGTTTCCTATTTGAATTGTTGAATTTCTCCATATTTTAGGCCACTAAATCCTGATTGTTTTCCATAAACCTACCCCATAAGGGCTTGTAGCTTCCTTAGTAATCCATAGGTCTTTCATTGTATATCTGGAAGCTATAACTTCTTTCCACAAACTCTGTTCTCCAGAGACAAACCTCCATAGCCACTTCAAGAGAAGACTCTGGTTCTGTACTTTGAGGTGCTTTATACCCATTCCTCCTCATTTTTTGTTGTTGATGACAGCATCCCATTTCACCAAGTGATGCTTCTTTTCCCCCCTCTCCATTTCCTTGCCATAAAATGTTCCTCCGGATGGAGTCTAACTTCTTTAAGACACACCCTGGCAAAGGAAATAATGACATCATGTAAGTTGGCATAGCATCAAGCACACTATTGATTAAAGTCAATCTTCCACCCAAAGATAAGTATTGGCTTCTCCGATTTGCCAGCTTCTTTTCACATTTTTCCACCACTGCATTCCATATATTCTTGGATTTACTTTTTGCTCCCAGAGGCATCCCTAGATAGGTAGTAGGTAGTTCTCCTACTTTACCTCCTAGGATACTAGCTAGACTATTGATATCTGGACCTTCATTCACTGGGTAGACAAAACTTTTACCCCAGTTTATGTGTAATCCGGAAATAGCTTCGAACAGAATAAAAATGACCCTTAGATGCTTTAGTTGCTCTTTCTCTGCACCACAGAACACTTAAGTGTCATCTGCATGCTTACTGTAAGTAGTGGGAGATATTTAATCCCAGAATATCACTATCATTCGTCCAGAAGCCCTTGATCTTATTGTTTGATTGTGCTGCTTTCAACATATCACTCAATCCTCCCATAGCAAGTATAAAAAGGAAAGGGAAAAGAGGATCTCTCCCAAAAGGGGTACCATTAATTAATACTGAGAACACTGAGTATTTTAACCATTTTATCCACCTATTTCCAAAACCCATCCTCTCAAGTGTGTTCCAGAGAAAGTTCCAGTTGAGATGATCAAAAGCCTTTTCTATATCCAACTTACATAGGATCCCAAGGACTTTGTTAAGTTCCTCACATCCACACATTCACTGGCAATAAGAATGGCATCCATGATCTGCCTACCCTTAATGAAAGCTAGTTGATGTTTATCCACCAACTTAAACATCACTTTCTTAAGCCTTTCTGTTAGGATCTTGGATATGATTTTATAGATGCTGCCAATCAGACTAATGAGCATAACATCCTTAAATTTTGATGCACCCATCTTTTTAGGGATCAAAGCTATGAAAGTAGCATTTAAGCTTTTTTTCAAAGTAACCTTGACCATGGAAATTCTGAATGGCTGCTATTACATTTGTCTTCACCACCTCCCAACAATGTATGAAAAATGCCATAGTAAAACCATCTGGGCCAGGGGCCTTATCTCCTGCACAGGCAAACACATTCTTTGATCTCCTG